ATACCACACTATTGTGATTTACTTTGTATTAAGTTTTGAAATTGGGTGGTGTAAGTCCTTCAGGCCTTCCTTCCTTCCTTTTTTCCTTCCTCCCTTTTATTTTCTTTTCCAAAATCATCTTGGCCATTCTGGGTTCTTTGCAGTTTCATAAAAATCTTAGGATCAGGTTGTCATTTGAAAACAACAACAAAATTCCCAAATCTCCTAGGTATGCCTGTACTTCTTTGTTTCCAATATTATGAATGGAATTGAGAGCAGTATGATTTAGTAACAATAAATAAAGCATTTGGAGTCAGGACAAAAGATCTGGGGTGTGAATACTCTCTTTCCAATTATCAATTTTTTACTCTGGATTCTTCAACTGCAAATTGTACCAACAATACTGGAATCCTTACTTGGGATGCAGCACCTAGTTTCTAATTTCACACCAAGAAGCTTCCTTTCTCCCACCCTAGTCATTGTTCCTCTTCAGGAGGCCAGAATACTAATTGAAATGGTAATTTTCTGACAATGATTAGGCCACATATATACCTATAAGGGGTCACTGTTGGTCAAGAGATGGCATATGCGTTTGTTTCTCTCTGCTATTTCCCTTCTGTTCCTGTCATTTCCATGCTCTGGTACCAGGAGCCCTGAAGTCTGGCCACACATGCTCCCCTCGGTGCTACAGAGTATTCTCATCCTTAGGCTCGGCAAGAGTTCGATGGTTGGTGGAAAAATGAAGCCATCTTTGACCTGGACCTAAGTTGTTAATTCCAACGTGGCTTTAAGATAGAATCCTGTAGTGCTGGACTACTGGGCACAATTTCAACAAAATAATAGTGTGCTATTTTGCTTCTCACTGTTTTTGTTTCTTGGGTCTATTGCTTCCTTTAGGCCCTCAACCTTTTCCCATAAGGTCTTAGAGAAATTTATATACAAGACATAAAAAGGACTGCACTAGAAACTCAACTTCACCTTAATGTTTAATACCTTCCAACAATTTCTGAAGATTGAAAGAGTGGTGCATGCAAAAGCCTTTGGTATGGTCCCTGATAGGCACTTAACACATGCTAGCAGCTCTGTCTAGAATGTAGCCTAGAACACTAGATTCTTGTTACTAAGGGCAGTCCATGTGTAAGCAGCATCAGTAATGTTTGAGAGCTTATAAGAAAATCAGAACCTTGGGTCGTACTGGACTACCAATCTGCACTTTCACAAGACGTCCAGGTAATTCCAAGGCCCACTACAATCTGAGAAGCATTGCTGTAGAGTATGTGTGTCCCTCATGCTGTCTTTCCTGCTCTCACAGCCATATGTTTATAGCTTGGATTGCCTCTAAGACTGAGGAGCATATTGTTACAAATGACATGCTTTCCAAGTTAACTCAGATATGTTTGTCAATAAAGTTTGAAGAGAAGCTTGTAGCTGTGGATTTATCTTTTCCTAAAGGAAATGTGAACTGGCATATGTTGAAGAAACCAATAGAAAGGACCCACAGGCAGGTAACAGAGGAGAGCTCCTCTGCGTGTGGCATGAGACAGGTGTGGAGACAAATTCCCAAGTGCAGAGAGCACTTGCCTTTTTAACGAGCTAGCAGGTGATGGATGACTCTCCAGAGGATCCTTTGCTTCCAAGAGGGAAAAAAGTATAATTGAACTTATAGACTGTTCTTTCTACTCAACAGCAATGTGTGTGTGAGCTCCCACGGACAGAGGTTATTAAGGTTCTAGTGAGCAGGCTAGACGCTCAGTCAACTGGGGTTATAGGTTTTTGACTTGTACCTTCTTATTAATATTCATTAGATTTGGATATTACTAAATCAATGGTGTTTTATTTTTAAACTCCTAAATTTTTACTTGTAGTTTTATGTTAACTATTTTCTTAAGATTTTTTTTTCTTTTTCCATTTTCTCCCCTTTCCTTGTACTAAGTTGTCATAATAGGTTATCCAAAGAACCTTTTTCTAAAAATTAAATGTTATATATATTACTATTGAATAAAATACAAATATCATGTAAAGTAGAAGTCTGAAAAGAGATCAGTGGATACCAGAGACTGCAAGTGGTGGTGGTGGGAGGGGGCCGAGGGGAGGCTGAGTACAAAGGGGCATGAGAGAATCTGGGGGTGGGGTGGGGCGATAGAACTGTTCCATATCTTGATTATGGTGGTTGTTATCCAAATTTATGCGTTTGTCAAAACTCACAGAACTGTACGCTTAAAAAGGGTGAATTTTAAAGTTTGTAAGTTATAACTCAGTAAGAAAGATAAGGGGTGGGAAGTTCCAATCTGCAAACAAATGAAAATGATTACACTGAGTTCCATAGGAATGGAATGGTGGTGGAGTGGGGTATGTTCTTACCTTTTAGAGGCCACATGCTTTTAGTCTTTAGAGCCAGTGGGACTGAGTTCACCCTGTAAGGTACAAAATTCTTTGTTGCCTCAGTTTCCTGGTCTGTCAATTGAGTTAACAGCAGCATCTACTTAATGGAGCTACTGTTAGCATTAAACAATGATGACAAAACAGAGGAAAGGGCACTGAAAATTTAAGGCTTTGTAATGGGAGACAGTTTGTGATTTTTCCCCCTCACCTCACTCTTGGTGAGGTCATCCTTGTCTCTGCTGAAAAATAGTCCTCATCATGAATCCCCCACACGTAGCTCTGCCCAACTTGCCATGTCAGGCAGCCACTGCTGAGTAAACACCCTGGAATGAACCTTAGAGAGAGAATAAATCACCTCTCATGCCATGCTCCCTCCAGGTGAGGACTGAGGTCATTGCAAGAGGCATAACAAATAGTCGACATAATGTACTAAACTAATAGATTCTATAAGGAAAACTAAATGGAAAATTTTTCTTGAGTACCAGGCACCTCTGGCTGAAGAGATAGTACAGCCAGTGTTATTATAGATGTAGTTGAATCAATAATACTTTTTCATTCATTTTTCAAAAATGCCTATTTTAACCAGCAGAGAGGTAAGGAGATATTAGATATTGTCAAGGGCAATTTTTCATTCTCACATGGATTATATTCTGGGACACTGTTCTTCAAAATAGCTCCATTTCTGTTTTTTTTTAATTTTTTTCTCTCAGAAATGTACTCAATTTTCTCCCAGCAGCGTGAATTCATCTAGAAAGCTATGACAATCAATTAAGTAAATGGGAAAATAGAATGCTTGTAATTATGATAATCAAGCTATATGAAACCCACTGTCTTAGGTCTAATACCCACACATCTTTAAGCAATATATTAATTAAGCTTTGGCTAGTGGTTAAAATTAGAAACAACCTTTTATAATTTTTAAAAATCACTCAGAGAGAAAAAGAAAATATTTGAGAAATAATATGCAGCTGTTGGTTTTCAAAACAATTCATCATCATGACTATGTTGTCATTTCCCTGGATCATGGAGACAATTCCAGTATGCTTTATTGATGTGACAATTGGAGGAATTTTGTAGATAGCAAAATTTTTAGAAGTTTCCCTATTCCTGTAAGTAAGAGGTTGGCAAACTTTTCCTGTAACGGACCAGATAATAAATATTTTAAACTTTGAACAAGAGTGAAAGTTGAAGCAACATGAGTGTACTTAGATAACAAATTTCTACAGTTTCTACACTGATGGAATTAAAAACATAATAAAATGATAAATGAGTACTTTTTTTGGCAATACACATCTACTAATGAGAAGGGTGAACTTCTTTCTACTGAGATAGTATTTTGCTTAGTTGGGGTTCAATGTTAGTGTCCCCTATCATCAAGTCATTGCAAATGTTCGTCCTGAAACCATGCTTAGCTCCTAGGCAACAGGCTAGATGTGGTTCAGAGTGCAGTTTGCTAATCCCTGGTCTTGATCAGTGTTTTCCTCTTCAATGTGCATTAGAATCACCTACAGGGCTTGTTAAAACAGACTGCGTAGCCACCCCCCATGTTTCTGATGGGGTATTTCTAATAAATTCCCACTTGACCCTGATGCTCCTAGCTTGAGACAATACTTGCAGAACACTTCTCTTGATGTCGGGCCTTTTAAAAAGCCACGTTGAACACAAATCTATCTATTTTACATTGTCACCATTTACATATTTCAGCTTACCTGTTAGATTCTACCTTTTTGAACTCCAAGGTACAGGGGTAGTAAAT